AATTAATTCAAATTCAAAATTTGAATTAAATATTTGAATTTTGGTGTAGAAATTGAGTCCCAAAAATATTTTGTGTGTCAAACGATGTACAAGAAAAAATCTTTAAAGTACATTTTTCTTACCAAAAAAAAATTTGTGTATCCTTAAATAATATTTTAAAGAAATTTTGACACACTATTTTGAAACTGACTCAAAAGAATATTTTTAGACAGAGAAAAAATAATTTTTCAACTGACTCAAGAAATAATAATTTTTATCCCTCAAAAATTAATTTGTTTATGCAAAAATTATTGTCATCCTTACAAGAATCCTAGACTCAATAAAAATTAAAAAGTCTTCGGAGTCTTCACTTCACTTCAAAAATCTGCGTAGGGGTGAGCGTTGAATTTTATCCCGTAACTTTCTTGATACGTCTCTTTGCTTTTCTCGATACGAAAAATGAATTTTCGATTATCGTTTGAATTTCATCATCCTGTTTGTCATTTATCAAAACAAAAATATTCCAGAAAAATAATAAAGGGATTTGAACTCATGTCCAACACTCATATGGTCTTATTAGACCTAATTTTAATAAAAATAAGTGATAAGCAGAAAAAGCATGTTAAACCAAAGAGACTAAAACTTTTTAAAGATATACTTAGTATTTAATGAGCTCAAAGAAATGTTCTTTTAGATATCAAAATTCTTTAAGTGATGTTTGATTAGATCTGGCAAATCGGTCGGTCAGGTCGGGTTCGGGTTCGGTCACTTCGAGTTTCGGTTTTTACGGGTTCGGGTCAATTCAGGTTCGAGTTGAGAACAGTATGTTCATGACCCAGTGCCATCGAGTTTGGGTTGACCCAACGGGTTATGACTTTGGTTTTTTAAATTTTTAAATTCACATTAACACTTAAAATATCAAAAAAAGTATTAGATCTATTAGATTATTTTATTTTAAATTCTAAAGTAATTTTTAGATATATAAATTAATATAAGGAATTTAAAAATTATTTAAGTTTTGCAAAAAAGTACAATAATTATGCATTATTATTAAAATTTTGTCTGAAAATATAAATTTATACACTAAAAACGAGTAGTAAGGTGTATGATTTTGAAAAATTCTTAGTTTAGCGGGTCGGTCAGGTCGGGTTTGACCCATTTTTAGCGGGTCATTTCGCGTTCGGTCATCAAAATCTTTGTTCAAAACCCAGTGTTTTCAGGTCGGGTTTCAGGTCAAAAACAGGTCGGGTCATTTTTTTTCCAGGTCTATGTTTGACAAAGTATAAACAAACTTTGTTTTAGTATCTATCAGTATTATAATTCTTCCAAATGTGAATATCTTGATATTTTTTAAATTTTGGGAAATATAAATATGAAGGTTTCATGTTTCTCTCAAACCGGAAACATACTGTCACCAGATCCATCTTATGGCCACCTGTTGTTGTTAACTACCCCGTTACCGGCTACATGTGCATTCTTTATTACCGATTACTTCCGCCTATCACTAATTATCATCATTCCAGTTCTTTCGATACGCTTTCATTTCAAAACTCAAATTATTTCTTTCAGATTTTAAAACTATATAATGAGTCACGCTTTGCTCATCAAACAAACTCTAGATGTTTATTTTATGGATTAAAAATATGACTATCCTTAAATAAAGATGGACAAAAGTTTTTCCCTAAGCTTGAGCGGTTGAAAAATTGTTCCCCCTCACTCAGTAGAGGGAGAGAAATAAATTCATTGTGCGTTTTTAGATTGAAAAAATATAAACTAATACTATATTGAAATAGAGTCAATAACATTAAAGAAAAAAAGTGGACAAAGATAATGATTGAGACAAAATTGTAAACTAGTTTTTACTACCAAACATCAAAATTCGCAAAAAGTTGTGTTTAAATAAGCCAAAAATAAAAGGTTAGTTGTTTGTAATGACTCCCATTGTCATTTGAGAAAGAGAATCACAAATAAAAGGTTAGTTCTTACCTCTTTTTTTGTTATGAATTGTTACATCATACTCCGAAGCTTATAACATATAACTAACTTGGTACATGTACATTGTACGATAAGTTTTTCTTTATAAATGGGAAGAATGAAAACTTCGCAAAGTAGATGTTTAATCAGAATTTAAGAGTCATTTACTTATCCAAGCGAGAACGATGTGAAATGTATATTTTTTTAAAAAATCTAAAAAGTCTGCTAGAAAGGATATCGAATGTACCTTTGGTGTGCTAAAGAAAAGGTGGCATCTTATATTTAATCCCACAAGAATGTGGGAGAAAGAAAAAAATATCAAACGCCATGTATGCGTGTATTATTTTACATAACATGATTTTAGAAGGCAAGGAATCAACTATGCTATCTGTGAAGACTACGAGCCGGGCGATGACAACGTTGGAGAGGTCACCGATGATGAACGAATTGCAAGACGCGCCCAATTGCCCAAACCCATAGTAGAGAAATGTACAAGAACCTTAGAGCATATTTTTTAGAGCACCTTAGAGCAGATTTAGTAGAGAATGTTGGGAAAAATCGAAATTCAAATTAGTGTTACTTGTATTGTTTTTTCTTTCATATACTTCATGCCTTTTTAATTTAATTATTTCATGTACTTTGTTTTATTCATGCAATTAATGAGTTTTTAAATTAGTTGTTTTTTTTGGGGTGCATTTAATTGTTATAATATAAAAAATCAAAAAGAAATCATTAATCCAAAACAGGAAAAACAATTGACATAATAAAAATAGAACAAACCTGAAAATAGTTTTTTATTATTTTATATTATTATTTTATAAAAGATAGAATTTAATTTGAATAGAAATAGGTAAATATTTTAAAAAAATAAAAATGTGATTCTTATAGTGGATGTGAGACATTACAAGTGTGAAGTGAGTGAGATGATGAGGGTCATCGGTGCTTATGTGACGCTGAGTGACTGCTGGTTTAGAGGGAGCGATACGATGGTGAAGCGTTACAGATAGCCTAACCGATGTCTTAGGGTTTTTTTTTTTTTTGTAGAACTCCATGTTGGGATTAGGTATGAGTCCAAAAGACTGGCCACCACCATGATTATTAAGAGACTATTTTTCTCTACAAGTATTAACTGGCTTATTGCTTATAAATAGTTTTGAATTTATAAACTGTTTATGACTTAAATATTCTTTCGTGAAAGTAAAACAATTTAAATGATAAATAATTCATTTAGAAATATTCATAAATAATGATGAATAATTTTGTAAATAATCTAGTCAAAACAAAAACGAAAAAATCAAGTTAAGAATATGTATATCAATTGACTTATAAATTAAAAATAATTTATAAACAACTTTGACCAGCTTATAAGCACAAAGAAACACTCACTATATGCGTACATGAATCTATTACCACTCGAATTGCCGTTGTTAGTGAGGTCAAATTGAGAACCTCTTGGGTGTTTGCTTCAGCAAGCCCTAAAACCATCCCCTAAAGCCACTTGTTATTGGTTTTGTATCGTTCTATGATTTTAATTCATTGCTCATTCTATTCCTTCCACCGACTTCATGAATGTCTCCATTTGTTTATTAGCATAAATTCAGACATTATGAAGCATCATATAACATATACTATGTTTATGATATATCCTCACAGGCAGCCACACTAGGGTGTGGTGACTGAAATAAATCAACGCATGCATGAGGGAAAGAATAACAACTATCTATCTTCACTTAATTAGTTTCATTACTTCCTTCATCTTACAAAACTAAACTAGCTTCGGAAGGCTTTGCAGAATGCATGCGAAAATCCCACCTAATGAAAAAATAAATATGAAAGCGAGCAATATCTTTCCTGTGTATAAGGGCCACGATGCAGCTTGTGGTGTCTTCTTAACTTGGTGATTATCCGATCCCTGCGGAGTCACCAATATTTTAAAATATATGCCATTGTCAAGGACTCCGTATTGTCAGTTATCACGAATAATCCTCAAATGACAAAGAGCTAAAGAATCTTGCAAATTATAGACCTTTCAGGAAACCACAGTTCTGCGGAGTATATAATTTAGAACTCAAGTTGTTGCATTGTTGGAAAACCATTTCAAACCAACATTTATTTTTAATTTTTTTTTTCTGATCAGTTCCTCTAGTTGGTTTCTACCTGGTCATTCTTTGTTCTCGTTCAAGCACATTAATATATCTCTAATGGCCTAACCTGTCTCATTTATTCACTAACATTGGTAGTAAATCACACTAAGTTGTTCAAAGGTAAGATTAGTAGCAATAGCCATAAATAACATCATCAACAAGAGCAACGGCAATAACAGATCAAGAAAATAGTGAAATTCATACCATGGTTGCAAGATTATATGCTTGTCCCGTCAGTACCAACTTGTTCTTCTTAGCCCATCCAAAACCTAGTAAAAAAAACATTGTAGTTACTCATCATATTACTTTCCAAAACAATTCTACTGGGAAAAATTATAAGGTGTGGTCTGTGCAGCCAGGTGATGTATTGTTTCCTGTTTTTGTTCACTTCTTATGAAAACATTAACAACAGGATGTGTTTGACAATAGTATTTTCAGTTTCCGGAAACAAAAAGTACTCCATCTATCTCAAATCAATTGTAACAGTTTGACTTCACAGAGTTTAAGAAAAAGTGTTGAAAAGTAAAGAGTGGATGTTGGAAATTTGTTTAGAAGAGTTGTGAATCACATATTCTTTACTTCATAAAGAAAGTAAAGAAGTGTGAAGATTATTTTGGGACAACCCAAAAGAAAAGTATGAGATTTTTTTTAGATGGATGGAGTATTTTCAAAAGGATTGGAAGCATAAAACTTCTTTATTTATTGTTACTAAATCTTGTTTCCAAATCAGACATTGTTTATAAATTATTAAGAATTCAGAATATTTGTGAAAGTTACAAATTTGCATCGTGCACACACATGTATAACCTATATATCCACTCCATATAAAACAAGATAAATGTCTGCTTTACCGTTTACCCGCACCAGGTTATACACCATACCTTTTTATACAAATGAACATGTTTTTTTGTTCTCACACACAAATTTGTTTGTGTGATGTCTATGTGGGGACACACATGAAGCACACACATACGTATACCAAAAGCTGAGAACAAAAACCTTTTGCGAGGAAATACATGTGGTGTAGAACTTGATATACACAAGACTGATGTAAATAAAGATAAATTAAAAATCAAACAGCCTAAACATATAAAAACATACTACCTCCATCCAGAGTTTGTCTGGTTTGATATTTTTCTTTCAAATTGAGCTATCTTTGATCATCAATTAAATAAAATATGAATTTTATATTACTACAAAAATGATTTCATTACATTTATCTTGAACATTCAAAAAAAATTACTCCCTCCGTCCTAAAACTATATTCCCAGTTACTATTCACACAGTCAAACTTAAATCACTTTCTTTACCTATTTTCGTTAGTTATTTGATAAAATAATATAGTCTTGTCACCTCTTGTTTTGTAGAACTTTTGATGTAGTTTTTAAATATATAAATTTTATTTTTAAATTTTACACCTACAATCAAATAAATTGAATTGAAAATAAAGTCAGCCAAACCTCGTAAACACAAACGGGAAGATAGTATTAGGACGGGGGAGTAGTTTACATCCACGGAGTCAAAGTTATTTCTCTTTCATTACATATTATCATCTATCATTAGGTAAAATAATACAATATAGTCATGTCATCTCAGTAAAACATGGAACTTATACCAAAACAAGACATTGTATGTTTTTATCCCCTAAATGGGAGTTTGCACTATGAAATGCTTGCAATTTGGCATAGTAAGTTGGCATTTCATGGTGATTTTGGCACTATATTTTGGTATAATTTGGCATAATAAGTCCTATTTTGGTATAAAAATATTGAATGTCTGATTTTGATATGTCAAATACGCAATATATAATGCCAAAAAACATTGTGAATGCCAACACATGCCAAGGTGTGACATTGCACAATGTCAAGCCCTTTTTTAGAGTTTCTATTTAGATATAAGTTCAATATTTAAACGAACTGAATATTTTAAACGAACGAATTTTTAAACAACCCGAATATTCTATGTATGATAAACGAATCGAATACGAATCTCTAAGAATAACCGAACCGAATCAGAATACAAATATCATCCAAAACTAATAAATACAAAAAAATCATAAATATTCGATTCGGTTCCGTTCATTTATAACCCTAACACCAGCACTATAACTGAATAAATACGGAGTAATAAACTTTAATAAAAGGGGAAAAAATTGAGTAGGAAAAGGACATACAAGTGGGATCAGAAGCGGTCCGCAGAGTCCAACCATCGTCGTAATTGACGAGGACTGAATTAGGGCCAAAGGTGACGGGCTCTTCTCCGTCTTTGACCGCTTCTATATGCGTTGCAGGAGGCAAAGGAAGTCTGGAATCAAGCTTGCTGTTTATCATCATGACGGAAAATTTGGCCTTCGTCCCGGCTGCGAATCTCCATGGCTTGTCGGTGCGGTGGCAGATTACCTCGATGAACTATATAATTATTGATAGAGGGGGTTATGATCAAACGCACTGTAATTAGGGCCAGTTTTCAGAAGAATAATAGAAATAATTGAAGTGCGATCACAAACCGGAGGAGATTGCTTGTTGCACTTTCTATCGGGAGAAGCTCTAAATAATTCTGGTAGCCTTGCCCTTGCCATTGGAGAGGATACATGATTACAACATGGTCGCGCTGCCTGCCTAAAGATGTGAAAGACCATATACCCAAATGATTTGGGAGCATTGTTATGAGAGGATAAACTATTTGTATCCCAAGTTTTTGTATCTCACTTTGTACCCCGCAAGTTTGCACTAACATTTTGTATTGGTGCAAAACTAATTTTTGTTAATGCACCAACACTTTGTGTCCGTGTAAATTTTTGTTAACGCACTAACATTTGTGTCGGTGTAAACCATCAAAATGTTTGTGTATAACTGCGGTGTACAAATGTGGTACAATTTGTGATGTAAATGTAGCATGGTCCTTGTTATAATTTCCGGTTCTTTCAAAATTCAACCCCCCCCTTTTAACAAAAGTTCCAATTTTGACCGAGTATAAAAATAAAAAAATATAAATTGTAAAGAAAACCTCTTAAATAGGAGTAAAATATACTCCCTCCGTTTCTCAAAAGAGTTCCTCTTTTGACTTTGGGAGAAAATAAGGAAGTGTTAAATTGTAGTTGACTTTCCAATTTTGCCCTTGATGTGATGGGTAAAAGTAAGATGTGATAGTTTAGTTGTTAGTGAAAAAGTAAGATGTGATAGGTAGGGTATGAAAAAGTAGGGGTAAAAGTGGTTTTTTAATAGAAAAGGGAAGTGTTTTAAGAAAGACAAAAAAAATGAAAGAGGAAGGGTTTTAAGAAACGGAGGGAGTATGTCATATCTTCAACATAAGAGCTCAAACTTAAAATCCTCACAATGGGAGTAATTAATTAAGTAATAACGATAGAAAACATCGCATCAATTTCTTTAAAACCGTACCATCTCCAGGGAAATAAATTCAAACGAAGAACATAGGTGGTGGTTCCGATCTTTCCTCTAGTCCTGATAATTAATAATAGTTACTTTTAATATATTTATTAAACCAAGTGAGAGCAGTATTTTTCTACGCACTTGAACGTCTATTGAAGAACAAATACGTCTTTTAGACAATTCCACACAATTATAGAAATCTCACGAAGAACAAACTTACGCCTCTATCTCCCCCCTTGCAGGTCTATTGCACTGCCTATATTTATTAGAGCTGAGATTGCCGCCTGTCGCGATGACTGTGATTTTAATTTTTAATTAGCTTCCAAATGCTCTATAATTGAGACTAAATCGTAGAAGTAAGAAATGCTTCCGACTAATTGCATTCATTTTTTTTCTTTGAAAAATTGCATCTTCATTAGACATTGATTTTGGTTTGGTTTTTTCTTTTAATTTTTATATTTGATTGTTTTTCCTTTTAATTTTTTTGTTTGATTGTTTTTTACTTTTTTTATTAGTTGTGTTTAAATCTTGTTCCCAATTGCAGTAAAAATTGGTGATAGTGATAAGAAATTTGACATTGTATGTTGGCAATCTTGACATTTCACTTTTTTTTACATTTTATATTGACATGTTTGGCATTACACAATAACATTTTGGCATTATGCAATGACATGTTTGTCAGTATGCATTATCGTCTTTGACATTGTGGCACCATGATACTATGGTGGCGACAATGACAATCCTAATCCCAACGTTAGAAGTAAATTATGAAATTGACAGAACCAAAATGGGGGCGATGGAGGCGGCATGCGCAACAAATGGGGATGAGCGCGACAGATCGTGGTGGCGATAGTGCCGACCGTGGCGGTGTTAGTGGCAGCAACAATGTAGATGGGGCCGGATTTAATAACGATGGCAGCATGAGATGGTGGCGATGGAGTGGCAGTGACGACAGTAGCGGCGATGACGGCAGGGGCGGGGACAACGACATGAGCAGCAGGGGCTGTAGCTAATTTAGGATTTTTTTAATGTATAAAATGTATTTAATTTTATATTTGTAATATGAATATAACTTCATTTTTTGTATGTGGTTAATAATTTACTTTTATTTTGCTCCTTAACTCAAAGCCATTAGATTAATTTAATTAATTACTCATATTCAGGGGAGTGTATCAACTTTTATTTTAAAGATATGTCATATGTTTTATTATTACTTTGGTTCTTTTCCAATTTATTAATGCTTATAAGTTTTTAATTTTAAAAAATCAAAAAAATCAAAATAAAAATCGCATAAAACTGAACTGAATAACCAATGGTTTATATATTTTGGTGTAAAATTAAACCGGTTGTCAACTTAACTTCGGTTTTGTTTTGTGATTGATTTTGACAAGAGGAGAAACGTTGCCGCATTTTAGCGTCCAGCGGCCCAGCTATATAGGCTTCGGACCCACTTCTTTCGGGGTCGCCCCCTCGTCAAAACAAGTTTACCAATTTACCATTTGCTTTGGTCAAAATTTACGAGTGGTTCAAAGGGCAAATTTTCAACCACGAGGACGTCACCTGAAATCACCAATTTGCCCCTCAAGTCCGTACAGAGCTCTACTGCTCCTAGGGCCGCGGGGTGGGTTCCGCAGGGAGTATATTCCTCGCACCTCCGCTTCGCTCTCGTTTTACAGTTATAGAATTTAGAACAGATTGAAGAAGATCGTGTGCATGAACAGATTCATGTATTTCTGTGAAGAAGAGAGAGAGAGATCACTTCGAATTTGGGAACTTTTCTAATTACATATTGATTCTCACGCCATTACTCCGCCTTATATCTAAGGTATTCGTGTATATCGGAATCATGTTTGTTCTGCCTAATCTTTGCGTGTTTAATTTTGTTTCTCGCAAGCTATCGCTTCTCATTTCGGAGGGTTTTATTGGTCTCACATAAAAATCAATTCTTTATAACGAAATTGAGAATGGGTGTGACGATGTTTTGATTCTACTTAGGCGGGGTACCTGTTTCATCTTGTTTTATTTAAATAAACAAATTCAATTTTTTTACTTTTGCTGGGTTTTGGATCTGTGTTTTGCATTCTAGCGGTGGAAGATTTCATGGTAAAAGAATTTATTTTTTGCGCAGATCTTTTGAAACTGGACCAGTCTAATTGAATCTGCGTTGTATGTTCTTCACTGTAATAGCAATTTACAAGAAATGGCATTTAGTTGTGCATATTTCTTGTTTATTTATGAAGTGTGATCATGTGCATTTAGTTCCTTGGAGACATTGTATGCATGCCTTCTAGATGCTTTATATAATTTCTATTTTAAACTTTAAAGCAAGTTTCTTTGTCCAAATAATTGATACCGTAATTATATCCTATGGATTTTGTATGGGTTTTTAATTTTTAGTAAAGGATTCTGTTTTTCTTTCTTTCTTTAATCTATTTTATCCTTGTAGTCAAAGACATTCTTTTGCTCTTTGCAGTTCAGGCTCTGTTTGGTAGCCATAATGGCTTATTCTGCATATTATGTTGATCAGTATAAGTAGAATAAGTATCTCTTGACTTCCTAGTTTGGCTGAAATGGATGTAACATAAGCTTTGCATTTCAAAACATTCAGCATATTTAGCCATTTCATCCAAATAGTCCTTATCCATACAGACCCTTAATGTAATTAAGTCGTACATTTTAAAACTATGCACTTGTTTTGTGGGAATACTCTTTACATTATACATAAATATGCATATACATTTTGTACAAAAAAGACTTAAACAAACAGAACCTGTATATATTTATTCACCTATTAGAAGAGAATATGCAAAATAGACTGATGTTGACATGTGGTGTGTTTCCACTAGTGATTTACATTTTCTTAAAAGAGGCTCCAGCATTGTAATTAAAACTGAGCTTGGCAGAAGAATGAAGACTGGTTAAATGTGTACAGTATCTAACTCAGTTATGAAAATTTATCATTTAGGCTTATAGACTAATGACTGATGAAATAACTTCTTTGACTCGTGATTATGTTTGCTTGCAATAACAAACAATTTTGCTACTTGAATATTTCAATGTTGTATTTTTTGTACAAAAATATTAGGAGCAGTTGATTATATATATGAGACCCCCTCTCACTTTCAGTTCTTTCTTTGATTCTAATTTCTATCTACCGCTAACCTGAATTTGCTCTTTTTATATTTTTTTCCAAGGTGATCATTTGACATGGTGAACTAAAAAGCATTTCTAATTTCCATAAACAGATTATGATTTGCTGGAACTATGGTTTAGAGTCTGCTTGCAATGTGTTTTATTGAATATTTTCTTTTGTAAATGAGTTGATCCCTTGCCTCTTTGTGCATGGTTAACATAATTTTTTTTTTATCTTAAAAGGTTGAAAAGGCAAAAAAACATCATTGGAGTTGCTGCAGTTAGTTACTTGATATATTCTACTGTGGATTTTCAACTGGCATACCTGCATTGTACCCTTATATGAAGTTAGATCAATCTTCTACAAGTTGTCAGCTCTTGTTTGCACTGCTCCACTGCATCAAGGGACAAAAACATCTTGATTGCTGAAGAAATTGGTCTGCAACAGTCAAAATTTCCCATTGGTAAAGTCATAGTTCTAACTTCAATATAAATACTAGTGGTTGAATTTAGGCTAACGTAAGGAAGTCCTAGAGGGTGAACTGCTATATCTGATGGAGGTAATGGTTTCACCGTCATGCCAAAAACAAGCAATGTCTGCTTGGAAGTGCTCATCAAGAGGGTCTTGCAAAGACCTGTGGATTGCTGCACGCGAAGGCTCTATTGGTGATGTTGATTCATGCCTGACATTTCTAAAGAAGAGTGGTGGGAATATCAATGCCCGGAATCTTTTTGGGCTTACACCTCTTCACATAGCTCCCTGGAGAAATCATATCCCAATAATTAAAAGACTACTTGCAGCTGGCGCAGACCCTAATGTTAGGGTGTGTTATTCTTTCAAACTTCTCATTTTTTAGTTTGATTATGGGTTTAAGGGTCATGCTGCATTGTTACTTTGATTTATTAGCCATCAAATGCCATGGTAAGTGATGTAACTCTTCTTTTTTCAAATTTCAGTTCTGTTGTCTCTTAGAGAACCATTCTTTCATTGTCATATTTTGATAGATGGTTGATGAGTATGTGTTAAATGAATCTATTTGGTATGTCCTGGTGCAGTTTTACGTTTTGGTAGTGTTTGAAATGTTTTACTTTTGGTACTTCAATGATGTCCATATGATTAAAATGAGTAATTAGTACTTTTGGTTAAAGGTGATATAAAGTGACTCATAGATTAGGACAAACCATGTTGCTGGTAATCACAGGCTCGTTTTAAAACTGTGAGGAGCTTGAAGGTTCTGTTAAAAAAAGACAAAATTGCTTATTTATAATGATTGTAGATTTACCATTGCATGTAATGATATAGCCCATGATTCTGTATTAAACATGGTGCAATCTGAGCTCATGGCTAAAAGTTTGTGTTCAGTTGGAAGACACAAACAGAGGATTATTCTTTTGAGCAATATGTTTTTTTTTCTGGTTCCCTAAACAGAGGATTATTCTTTATTTAATATTTTAAATCTAAAATTTATTTTTCTAAGGATGGAGAATCAGGCTGGAGTTGTCTTCATCGAGCACTGTATTTTGGACATCTTGCAGTTGCTAGTATCCTTCTCCAATTCGGTGCTTCAATCACTCTGGAAGACTCAAAATCTAGAACACCAATTGATCTATTATCGGGACCTGTTGAGAAAAACAATTCAGGTTGCTTGTAGATTTGTGTGGCATCCATTTTTCACTAGTTTTACAGATGAAAAAAACCAATTTCTTTGCATGCTTTCATGTGTGTTCAGTGGCCACAGAAGTCTTTAGCTGGGGCAGTGGAGTGAATTATCAGTTAGGAACTGGAAATGCCCACATTCAGAAGTTGCCCTGCAAAGTTGATTCCCTCCGTGGCTCTGTGGTTAAATTAGTCTCTGCAGCGAAGTTTCACAGTGTTGCAGTCACTTCTCGTGGAGAAGTCTATACTTAGGGTTTTGGAAGGGGTGGCCGTCTTGGCCACCCTGACTTCGATATACACAGGTAAGTGGCTATGTGAGAGGAGTCACTCCTAGTTATATTCTCTTTTTGTTAAACTTGCCTTTGAGAATATTGGAGCATGTCAGCCTAAGATGTGCAGTTCTCCTGTATCCTATGTCTCTAAATGTGAGTGCTTGAACAAAAAACACTCTTGCAATAATGCATGGAAAAATGTGTAACAAATACGGAGTATTAAACTATTATATATGGAGTACATTTTTATCAGCATTTTCATCTGCTACAATTTTACTATACCCACTTTAACAAAGCTTTTGTGCATGTATGTGGTATGATTCATATGTTTGCCAGTAAAGCCTTAAAGGTCGGCACTTTCTGAGTGTGTTTAACTATTTTCATCAGTGTCCATGCTATGAAACAGTCTTCCTTTCTATAAGACCACTTACCCAGAGTGAAGTGAATGAGAATATTTGAACATATTTTAAATTCATGATATCTATTTAATGTGTTTGCAGTGGTCAAGCTGCTGTCATCACTCCACGCCAAGTAATTTCTGGTTTAGGGGCACGTCATGTCACGGCAGTTGCTGCAGCCAAGCATCACACTGTTGTTGCAACAGAGACTGGAGAGGTTTTTACATGGGGTTCTAATAGAGGTAATATTTATTCTTTATTGAATAGTTATGGATGCAGGTTCTAATAGAGGTAATATTTATTCTTTATTGAGTAGTTATGGTCTTATGGATGGGGGTTTTAATAGAGGTAATATTTGTTCTTTATTGAGTAGTTATGGATTGCATTCGAATAGACAATAAAGATCATCATCTATTTTCTATTCATTTTATTTTAGCCACAAGGTTCCTACACTGGGGATTTTGAGGGATATAGCCTATGCAATATACAACTCTATCAGAGTGCCTATAAAGTTTAAGCTCCTTTGTCCGATAACCAGATTATTGTTTTTGCATTTTCTTTTAACTTTCTAGTGCATCCCAAGTGTTGTTTGACACTGTACACATTAGACATTGCTCATAGTTTTTGGCTAAACTATCAATATAAACCTAATTATTAAGAAGGAAGAATGGAAATGGTTTCCACATGGCAGTTAATGAATCCACACCTTAGTCAGCTTTGCTTTAATGATGGAATTATCTCCTTTCAAAAATAATGTGCAGAGGGCCAACTTGGCTATACCTCTGTTGATACTCAGCCCACACCTCGGAGAGTGAATTCTCTAAGGTCGGCAGTAGTTGCGGTTGCTGCTGCAAACAAGCACACTGCTGTAGTCACTGACAGTGGTGAAGTGTTTACTTGGGGTTGCAATAAAGAGGGTCAGCTTGGGTATGGTACATCTAACTCAGCTTCCAACTATACTCCAAGGGTTGTTGAATATTTGAAGGGAAAAATTTTCACTGGTGTTGCCGCAGCTAAGTATCACACAATTGTATTGGGATCAGATGGGGAGGTATGCCATACCAAACCATTTACTTGTTCTACACGGTTTCTATAAATTTTTACATTGTCTCAGTGAATTGCATATGTCTCATAAGTCATAAACGACAGGTTTTTACTTGGGGCCACCGTTTGGTCTCTCCAAAACGTGTTATCATTGGCAAAAACACAAAAAAAGTTGGGAGCACTTCTTTGAAGTTTCATCGTAAACATGTTGTAGCCATTGCTGCTGGTACAACGCATAGTGTGGCCTTGACAGATGATGGTGCTTTGTTTTATTGGGTGTCAGCCGATCCTGATTTTCAACCTCTGCAGGTTCTGTTGTTTATCCTATACTAGAGTAGATATTCTTTTGGAACTGCTTAATCTATATAGTCTTTTTTCTCAGATTTCTGCACATTTTCATGCAGTTATATCCACTCTGTGGGAAAGATATTGTCAGTATCTCTGCTGGGAAGTATTGGACTGCTGCAGTTACTGTTACAGGTGATATTTACTTTTGGGATGCAAAGACAGAAAGAGATATACCTCACTCATTGAATCGGTTGCATGGAGTGAAAAAAGCTAGTGCCGTGTCTGTTGGAGAGACCCATTTATTGATAATAAGCTCTCTGTATCATCCTCTTTATATGTCTCATGCTATGGATGATCCGCAAAAGCTCAAGCCCAAGTTAAAATGTGAAATTGATGAGCTTGATGAAGGCTTTATGTTTGATGATATTGAGACAGATGAAGTCTTGTCTCCTGTAAAAAAGGAGGATGAAAATAAGAGTGTGCCAAGCTTAAAGAGTTTGTGTGAGAAATTGGCAGCGCAACATCTGGTGGAGCCACGAACAGCTATCCAAGTACTGGAAATTGCGGACTCCTTAGGGGCTGATGAGTTAAGGAAACATTGTGAGGTAATGTAGTGATCATTCTTAAATATGTTTTTCTAATATTTATTATTTTAAAACATCTTTATTACTCCCACTGTCATATTCTTTTATATTTGGATTTTGGAAACACTATCTATTACTCCCATTGTAACAAAACATCAGGGCTAGTTGCATTGCTATTTTGTGTAGTTAGGAGTGAATTTTCTGATGATTAAATGAAAATATGTACATCGTAGAAGGTTTGTAGTCTCGTAAATCAAGCTAATTACACCTTTATGATAATGCCATATTGCCGAATTCAACATTTATGGCTATTATGCACTCCCATTAAGGTGGTATAAATCACAAGCATCACGTCTCTTTGTGTGTGCTTTGTATCCTTTCTGCTTGTTGATTTGCGTTGACTGTGCTCTTGCTTTTTGGGGGGGGGGGGTCTCTTGGAAACAACATCTCTACTTTTGAGTAGGGGTAAGGTGCACTGCATACGCACACCCTCCCCAGACCTTACTTTTTGTGGGATTTTACTGGGTTTGTTGTACTTTAATTTCAAGTCTATGTTTTGAACTTGATGTTTGTTTGGAACATGACATGTGAATTACAATCGCCTGATGTCAAATAATCTAGGTTTAGTTTCTCTGTGCCCGTGACCTCCCTCATCATCAACCTTCTTCTCCAGCGCATTCCACTCTCCTATACCAGACCCACTCTCCTACATCCATTCCATGCTTCTCATACCTCCAATCCCACCCGATCCTGTTCCTCTGCCCACCCCACCCCACCCCCCC